TGCTAAGTTTCACCCGATATCTCTTTGCAATACCATTTACAAAGTTGTCAACAAGGTTATAATGGAGATATTTAAGAGTTGCATTGCTAAGTTATTTTCTCCGTTTTAAATCGGTTATGTGCTAGGGAGATCCATACATGAGAACATCATTATAGCAAAGAAAACCATGAATATTATGCAAAAAAAAGAAGGGGGAGAAAAGTTTCTTTGATATCAAGATTGATCTTTCAAAAGTATATGACAAACTCAGTTTGGATTTCATTTGGAAAGTTTTGATGGAAATAAAGCTCTCAATTTCAATGTCCAGCCTTATAATGCATTCATTTACTAGTGTAAAATCAAATGTTAACTGGAACAGTGCTAGAAGTGATTTCTTTCGGCCAGAGCGAGGTATTAGATAAGGGGACCCCATTTCGGCCTATCTCTTTGCCTTGTGTATGGATAAAAATTCGCATCTTATTGAACAAGAAGTTATGGATCATAAGTGGAATGTAATGCAAATGGGGAAACATGGGCCTAACATCTCTCATCTCATGTTTACAGACGATTTAATTCTTTTTGGTGGAGATTCTGAAAAGAAAATTCAAAGTGTTGTGAAGACTCTGCACAAGTTTTATAGTATGTTAGGTCAAGAAGTCAGTGCTGACAAGTCTAGCATTCTTCTCTCCAAGAACGTCAGTAAAAGTGGGAAGATGAAGCTGATACAAATGTGTGGTTTCAAAGAGACAAGTCAGTTTGGAAAATATCTTGGTGTTTCGCTTAGTGTAAAAGCTTTAAAGAAAGTTACCTATTAGTACTTGGTGGATCAATTTTCATCTAGGCTCATGAATTGGAAAACTAACATGTTATCTTTTGTAGGTCGTGTTACTCTAGCGAAAAGTGTGATTGAAGCTATCTTGACATATCCAATAATGATTAATTTGTTTCCAAAAGCTTGCATTGATAAAGTCTGTAAGTTGCAATGAAACTTCATTTGGGGAGATACATTGGATAAGAGGAGAATGTTTGCGGGGAAATTGGAAACATTAGCTCTGTAACACCCCAATTTTTAGAAGTTATTTATTTAATGAATTATTAGGAGTATTTGTGAATAATTGATGTTTTATATGATTATGTGTGATGTACTGGTATGAGGTTGTGCATGATGTGAATTATGATGATTAGAAGTATTAGAATGGTTAAATAATCATTTAGTAATTATTTGGATTATTATTGAGAATATAATAATAGGAATAATTATTTAAAGGGTTATTTTAATTAGAGTGGGGTGTTGGTAATTAGTAAAAAGAGTGAGGATGTGATGGTAAATAGAGGTTGACTAAGTGAGGTAAATTGAGGAAGATATTAGGGGTCCTTTGTGATAACAGAGAGAAAATAGTTGTTATTCTCACAATCATTCGTGAAAGTTGGAGAAGAGAGGCTAGGGCACAAAGGCTTTGGAGAGAATCATTGTAAGAGGCACAAAGAACATAATCAATCACTCGAAACAATAAGGTAAGGGGTGTATATTTGATTATTATATTTGATTTAAGTGGTAGATAGAGGTAGGGCTTGCCTTAGGTTTCATAGATGGTGATTCGATGTTGTTTGATGGAGAATTGATAGATTAGTGATGAATAATGACCCGTAAATGTTGTATAACTAATGTAGTATATTAATTTGTTGATAGATGATGAATCCCTATAATTAGATGATGTTTTAGGACCTATAAGGTAGTGAAATCGCAGAAAAATCGCAGAAAAATTCAGCACAAAACAGCATGCGTCAACTCAAAGAGGTCATGCATCGACTCATGCAGGTTCAAGACTCAGTATGCATCGACTCATTGGGTCGACCTGATCACACCGAGGCAGACAAAATACCTATGCGTCGACTCAAAGGGGGCATGCATCGGCTCAAGCAATCCAATTTTTAATAGATTTTTCTAAAGGTCATAACTTGAGTTTCTGGACTCCGTTTGAGGTGTTGTTCGAAACGTTGGATAGCTAAAGCGATGAACCATATTTATAAGGAGTAAAATGAAGAATAAGAAGGATAATTATAGTACCCAAGTTAGGATATAATTAGTTTCCCCGTGTTGAATCGCTATGATGTTTTGTGGTAATGAAGTATGATGATGATATGTTGTTAATATGATAATTCTGTTTTATATGATGATATGATGATGATGCTTTGCTTATATGAGTACATATGATGAGGTTTATATGATGATGTTGGTGAATACATGAATGATGATTCGTATGACTAGTTGTGGTCGTTTATATTATTGTTGTGCATCATGCATTCATTGGACAACTTTGGGCCATTTTAATGCTTTGGGACGTTGGTCCAGTGATTTGGTCTCAATCACATTGTATGGATTTGGGATGTCTATGATTTGCTCCGATTCCAAGTGATAATCGATCCTATGATTGGGGTCTTTGGAGGATGATGGCCTAGTGTCCATCAAATGAATTGGTACCACATGCATGAGTATATGTCCTTGTACTACATCTTATGTGGCATTGCATGGTTCTTAAATTGATGATGTTGTATTGTGTTTTTGAATTTGTATAATTATTGAGGTACTTGGAATATAACAATGCCGAGTTTAAGTTGTGATACTTTTGGTTTATTCTGCTATATCTATTACTTATATCTTATATAATGATTGTGATGAACTCACCCTTTCTGCTTGAATATTGCCTCTACATGGGTAAGGTGCAGGTAATCGAGAGTAGTCCCTAAAGGCTTAGAATAATAGCTTGGAGCTTGTGTTTTATTTCCGTTGAGTCTAGAAGGTCTTGCTCAGATATGTAACATCGGGGACAGAAACACTTTGTTTTGAAAACTATTTTGTTCTTGTTTTGTTATGACATTTAAATTGTTTATGTGGAGTTTAAATTATGTTGAATTGTGAACCATGAATTATGGGGAACTATGAAGTGTTTTAATGAACTTGTTTAAACTATGATTCCGCTGCAAGTATGTGAAACCTTGATAATGGATATGCACATGAATAATTTTGAAAACCCGTGTTACATAATAAGACTAGCACGTATGATTATTTCACGAATAAAATATGATGCCCTTTTGTTGTATTACTCTGATATTATTTTAAATAATTATGAATATTCTATGGGGTTTAGAAGGGTGTTACAAGCTCAGCCTAAAAATTATGTTGGGATAAGACTTCAAAATCTTGAGGTTGTGAATATGGTCTGCTTGATGAAGTTGAACTGGAAGCTGATGACAAATTCTAAGGAGTTATGGTGCCTTGTTTTGAAAGGTTTGTATGAGGACCACGATGAGGTTGATGATAGTCAGATTAAACCTTCTGATTCTAATCTTTGGAAGGCTCTTCGTAAAGGCACGCCACAACTAAAGGAGTTTGGTGTTTAGTGTACTAGGGATGGTAGTAGCATAAATGCGTGTACTAATAATTGGGTGTAACCAGGAATAAGTATCCTTGATTATGGTATTTAAGTTCCTAAGATGATGCGTGATGCAAAGGTGAAGGATATTGTAGATGATAATGTCCATTGGAACTAGAATAAATTGAAGAATTGGATTTCGTCGGTTGTGTTGGATAAATTACGAGAAATTCTTCCTGCTATTGAGGGAAATGATTATGATAGATTTATGATATCAGGAAATGAAAGGGGAAAATTCACAGCGAAAAAGATGTACAAAACCTTTGATAATGTTAATGAGCAGACAAAAGATAACGTTTAGAAGCAAATTTGGAAGATTAATGCACCTGAGCGAGTTATAATCTTTCTTTGGCTTTTGAAACATGATAGGCTAATTACCAACTTTAACAAAATCAAGATAGGATTACGATCCGCGACTTGTAAGTTGTATGGCCATGTGAGTGAAACCATATTTCATGTGATGAATGACTTCCCTAAAGCCATGTATTTATGGAATAATATTGTTCCAAAAAAATTAGTTTAGGTTTTCTTCAAGCTGGATTTGAAGTTTTAGATTGATTTGAATATCACTACAAGAACTGGGACCAGATTAGATTAAAATTGTTTCTGAGCTATTGGATGTCATTTGTCATGCACATGGCGCAATAAATATGAGCATGTCAATGACTATGATCGGCCCTTTGACCCGAGAGCGTATATTAGTCAGAGAGCTACTAAGTATGTTGAAACAGTGAAGATGAACAAGGTTATTATGGAGAAAAATAAAGTAGGGAAGTGTATTGCTTGGTCCCCTCCTCACATGAACTAGATTAAGTTGAATGTTGATGGAGCTTGTACGGATGGTTCGATACCGGGGTGTGGGGGAGTGATTAGATATGATAAGAGTCGTTGGGTTGGTGGGTTTGCAAAGTTCCTTGGTCATTGCAATGTCTTCATGTAAAAATTGTGGGGTTTGTATGAAGGTATCAAGTTAGCTTTATCTCGAGGCTTTATGAAAGTTGAGGTAAATGTGGATTCTTCCATGGTGGTCCAAGCTATTGATATAAGGTGTTCAATTATGATAGAGAGTCCGGTGATTATTAATCAAATTCGAAGGATAATATAAAATTTTAAAGAAGTGATTGTTTGTCATTCTTTCAAAGTGACAAATAAATGTGTGAATATGTTAGCTACTGTTGGTTGTAGTGTTAGACCTGACATTGTTTTTTATGATTTAGATCCTAACTTTTTAGTGAGCTTGTTTGATGCGGATGCTAGAGGTTTTTCCACCTCTAGATTGTCATGTGTTTAGTCCTTTATTGTTTTCGTGATTCAGCCTTCATTGTTATAAAAAAAGTTCAATCTCTGACGACGCCATTTATTTATATTTGTACATTAATGTAATCAAATCGTTGATATTTATAAATTAATTAAAAATATATTTTATTAAAATGCATGACTGTTAGCACATTTCATTAGACTCTATATTAAAAAATAATATTTTTTTTACTCTTTACCTTTACTAATAAAAGTTTAAAAAAAAATTATTTACTTTATAATTATGAAAAAACAAACTCTGTTTATTTAGTGAAAGCAACTCGCTATGATATGGTTTATGACAAAAACCAAAAGGGGCGTCGCCGCCTGGAAAAAGTGGTGGCGAAGCGTCCGAAGACGGCGGAGAGAGACAGTGTAACAAAAGCAGCCATAGAAATCGATACGAACATAAGGAATACGATGATAGAAGAGAATGAAGCACCACCAAAAGAACCGAAACCAACGATGGAGGATCCCAAACCCATCCCACCGAAATCAAAATTGAAAAACAAAAAACCTTGGGTTGACGTCATTCAAGGGAACAGAAGCATGAATCGGGGAATGACAGTGGGTTATGCAGCTCCCATGATGGTGAACGGGGAAATCGTGATACAAATCGAAGAAGACTATGTTGCTGATGAACTTGAATTTTGGGAGAACGCTCTAATCCTATTTTCTCTAGGGGATACTCTCTCGATGAATGCGGTGAAAAAAATTATGAAGAAAACCTGAAATTTTGTATCTCTTCCAGAACTATACTACAATGATGCGGGATATTTCATCGTGCGTTGCAAGAGTAAGGAAGATCAAGAACAAATCTTGGCTCAGGGACCCTACTTCATATATGGTAAGCCTATTTTCTTGAAGATTTTGTCTATGGAATTTGAAATTAAAGAGGATTTGTTGTGTGTCTTGGTGTTATGAATTACATTTCCTAATTTTCCTCTACACCTATGGGGGGAGAAATGTATCTCTAAGATTGCTAGTGCTATTAGAAAACCAATCACTATGGATGAATGCACCGCCAAAAAACTTAGAGCTTCATATGCTAGAGTTTTAGAGGAAGTAGATATCACACAAAAACCTAAAAAAAGTGTAAAAATAATGGATCATAGAGGAAAGCTGGTTGAACAAATCATTGACTATGAGTGGAGACCTAAATATTGCCATAGCTGTCTAAAAATAGGGCATGATTGTACTGAGAAGCAACAGCTTGTTAGACAACAGACCAAAGTGTGGAAACTTGTGGCACTCAAACCTATTGTTGAAGAGAAGATAGAGGAAGAGCCAAGACCATGATGGAGGAAACAGAGGAAACTAATGGGGAGAATAAGACTCCAGGTCTGAACCCTCCTTGGATCCCGGTGACATCTAGCAGAGCTAATGGTAGAGGTAAAAGACAACAAAAGACCCCTAGAGAAAGCAACACAAACTTATTCCAAAACCTCTTAACCGTCTTGAGGACTGGAGAATGTATGATAGGGGAAGGTAGTAATTCTCAATGATTGTGACATGGAATGTTAGAGGAATGAATAAAAAGGCTAGACATAAAGAGATAGGGTTCTACATCTCAATTTTCAATGTGCCTGTTGTAGGTTTACTAGAAACTGGAGTCAAGAAGAACAAAGATATCAATATCATAAATAAATTGGGAAATAATTGGAGTTACTGTGATAACTACTCTCACCATGCTAATGGCAGAATTTGGCTTTTGTAGAAAAGCAAGGAGGTTGATGTTATGGTGCATAGAACTGAGGAGCAATTCATTCATGCTTCAGTGTATGGTTTGGATCAACAACTGTAGTACCAGGTCACTATCATCTATGCTTCTAACCAGTGGGAGAAAAGACTTAAGTAGTGGAAGGATATAGAGCATATTGGAGCTAACATGGGTCATCCTTGGATTTCCATAGGGGACAACAATAATGTGATATCTACTCAGGACAGTGTAGGAGGGAACAATATCTCTGAAAAAGAGTATAAAGATTTGGTGGAAATGATGCAAAACACGCACCTGTTTGAAGCTAGCATTAAAGGTCCCCACTTCACCTGGTCTAACAAGCACACTGAGGGAATTATTTTCTCTAGAATTGACCACATGTTAGGCAATGCAAAGTGGTTTCAGAAATATCAAGATGTTAATGTGTATATCCTTAGGCCTAATATTTCTGATCATGCCTCCACCCCACCACGGTGGACAATCAGGTGCAGCAAAGGAAAAAAAGTATATGTTTAAGTTCCTTAATTGTATTACACGGGAATCTACTTACTTATAGACTATTAATAGTAGCTGGAATCAGAATGTTAAGGGGACTACCATGAATAAAATATGGATAAAATTGATGAGACTGTGAATGAATCTGAAGCCTTTGATGAGGAGATATTCTGACATTCAGGTGCAGATTAAGAAAGCTAGGTAGGATCTTAAAGATGCTCAATATTTCCTTAGTAACAACCTGTTTGACAAATCAACTATTGAGCAAGCTAAGATTCATACAGAGCATGTGATCCACTTAAACCAGATGGAAGAATCAATCTTGAAGCTAAAAGCTAAAGAAGACTGGTTGAGACTGGGAGATAATAATAACTCTTATTTGAAGGTGTGAGAAGCATAAGAAAAAAGGTTTGAATTGGGTTTCACTAAAATAAATATTAAATCTTTTTCATTGATAAAATAACAAATTAACTTGTAACATAAAAATAAATAAACACAATTATTTTTATCCTGGTTCACTGTTAACTAAGCTACTCCGGTCCAACCCGCAAGGTGATTTGCCTTCAACAAGGACTTAATCTACTATAACAAAATTGATTACAGACAACCCACAATAAGTCAGATAAACATTATTAGCACTCCAAATAAGTCAGTTAGTCCTTATTGCAAATGTACTTAAACCGCATCAAGAGTTTTCTTGAGATCTGACATTTACTTGTTCTCTCAAGGAATCAACAACATTTGAATACTTTCAGTGTATTTACAGTTTTTTTCTTCTAAGCATATTACACAGACATTTCAGTACAAGAAAAACACCTAAGTGTTTTACAGCAAGATACGAGCAATAACTCATTGCTTGTTTACAAAACTATACACAGAAGATTTCTCTAAAGAGTTTGCACAACGCTTTGGTGTAGTTTTGCTTGAGCTTGATTTAATCCGATATATTTGTATAACGTTGATTCTTATGTTTCTTCAGCTTCTAAGTATTTCTTTTCATCTTGTAAAATATATCCATTGAAAGGGTAGAAAGTGAATAGGAAAATAAAGTTGTTTGTTCTCAACGGTCATAATGAGAGTGGTCATAGTAAATTAAGAAAGAGTTATCCTTATGCCACCCTAGAGGGTAGAGGTCACATATCAATCTTTGTACCTTTTGTACACCATCACACGTTAACCATTTAGAACTTCTTCTTATCTTCATAGGCTTTAGATAATTGGAATGTTTGAAGCTTGTTGTAAAAAAAACCACTCTTAAATATTAGAACCTAAGTCTTGGAGTCTTCGGAACTTGTCCTATCAGAACATCGTCTTCAGCACTTGGTTGTAAGAACTTTCTTTTCTTCAGATCATCAGAACTTGTTCAGTAGAACCTCGTCTTCACAATTTTCAGAACTTGCAACTCACAGAAGCAAAGCTTTAGAAGACCTCAAAAGCTTAACCATAAAGTCACGATCAGAACTTCTTGTACTAACATTCCTAAGACCAGTTGCATAAGATGAATCCCATAATATTGACTTCAACTGTAACACGTAACCACATGTTTTCATCTAGTAGTGTTTATGTTCAGAACAAATGATGTCACATGCCTTGATACCAAATTTAGAACATTACAATAGCAGCTACATACTAGAACAAAACTATTAGAGTATACAATTGTTCTTAATGATATCATGTAAAGTTATCATCAAAATCTTAAGGCTAGATGTAGAAACACTTCTTGTTCTTACAATCTCCCACTTTTTGATGATGACAAAATCATGTATTTTAATAGAACAATTTATACAGGGTAATCACCCTAGCCGACAAATTCAGAGTTAAGCTCACAGCTTCCCCTGAATCTGTTAATCCCAAAATTTCATTTATGTTTGTTCAGAGACTCCCCCCGAACCCAAGACTCACAAAATAAATTTTGAGTTGTCAGAACATAGAAATTGAGAAGGAACACTTACCTACAACAACTCATCAGAGTCTGACTAGAACACCTGGTCTTCATCTCAGAACTTGGTTACTATCAGAACTTGATGAAGAATCAAAACTTGATTTTGAGCCTAATTGAATAATACCACACATCATTTATCAAAATACTATACTTTTGGAGAAGTTCACTACTTCTTAAGCATCCACGTTTGATTTGATATATTTCAATATATCATGCATTCAGACAGTTCACAACTTATGAATAGAACATAGGTTGCAAAAGCACATGTATCAGAGCACATCTTTTGAGTGACATCTCTGTGTTAAGCATGCATCATAATGTTGACTTGACTTCCTTTTAGGAGAGCACATCTTCTGAAGCTTTTAAGTATGAATTCCATACTTTCAGAAAGTTCACAACTTCTGAACAATAAGATATCAAGCAAGATTGCCTTAATTTTAGTAAGTTTATAACTTCTGAATTATGTTTGATACATCTGTTTGAATATTCATATATTCATAAAGTGTACAACTTCTTATATATGAAATAAGAGTTGATTCCATCCATAAGGTTCTCAACTTTGGCATTAGGAGCTTCATATTCAACCTGTCTTAGAATACTCAGTGAAATTATTCAAAGTTCCTGGAATGAAACATTAAACAAACAGTTAGTAGCAACAACTTGTATATGTTTGAGATTAAGATTTTGAGAATAAATATTATCAAAATCATTTTACTTTCACCCCCTTTATCAGAAATCAAAAAAGTAATAAAGAGACAGAGAAATGAACTTTGAACATAATATATTCAAACCAGAGAATTGTTTGGCTAAAATTCAAGTTTTAAATTCTGTCTTGAAACATACAGTTTAATAGAAATGTTTGGTAAGATTTTATGGAATGAAAATATTGAGTTAGCACACATAAATCCAATCAAATCATAACAAAACAAAACATTATATTAATTGAACAAGGAATTACAAGTACACAAGAAATGACCTGAAAAAGACAAACACACAACCAGCAGAAAAAAAACCCAAAAAAAACTAAGCTTCAAGAACTTCACATTGAACTTCCTCAAGGACATCCTCAGGTCCATTGCAACGAATGGCTCCAATAATCCTAACTCTGGTGAAGAGAACAGAGAAAACTCTTGCAAAAGGTATAAAGACACAGTGCCTAGATCTGGAATTAATGATTGAGTCTCTTAGGTAGTTAAAAATGGATTGAGGTAAGTTGATTCTAATATTCACTTTCTTCAACAACCTTCGTCATCTTGAACACTTCAACATGATGAATGCTCAACAACAAGAGGCTGCTCAGTTTTCTAAAGAAATGGAACAAGCCCTAAATCCTTCTGGGTCGTCTTCTTCAACTATTCCAACTCATTGCTAAGAAGCAAAGAGAAGCTGAAGCTAGAGCACTCCAAGAGATAGAAGAAGCTAGGATTAAGTATGAGGAAGATGTCAGAGTTGCTAAGGAAGTCAGGTTGGCTCGGGAAGCTGAAGAGGCAGAAAAGGCAAGACAAGATGCTTTTCAACGGGCATCGTTTCATCCTGGTAGCGATTGATTACTTTACGAAGTGGGTTGAAGCAGCTTCCTTTGCTACCGTAACCAAGAACGTCGTGGCACGGTTCATTCGGCACAATCTGATCTGTCGATACGGTGTACCAGAGAGGATCATTACGGATAATGGTACCAATCTCAACAACAAGATGATCACTGAGCTCTGCGAGCAATTCAAGATACAACATCATAACTCTTCTCCCTACCGGCCAAAGATGAATGGGGTTGTGGAAGCAGCAAATAAGAACATTAATAAGATTGTGAAGAAGATGACAGTGACATACAAAGACTGGCACGAGATGTTACCATTTGCTCTTCATGGGTACCGTACCTCAGCACGGACGTCAACAGGGGCAACACCCTATTCCTTGGTTTATGGCATGAAGGCAGTCTTGCCTATTGAAGTTCAGATACCCTCTCTCTGGATTATGAAGGATGCGGGCTTAAGCGAAGACGACTGGATTCAGACCCGGCTTGATCAGTTGAACCGAATCGACGAGAAGAGACTTACTGCTCTTTTTCATGGTCAGACGTACCAAAAACGAATGATTAAGGCATTTAACAAGAAAGTTAGACGACAAGAGCAACCCTTAAACCAA